GGCCGAGAAGTGCGTTCTGGCTACTAGGTACGACACATATATATATATATATATATATATATATATATATATATATATATATGTCGTACCTAGTAGCCAGAACGCACTTCTCAGCCAACTATGCAAGGCCCGATTTGCCTAATAAGCCAAGTTTTCATGAATTAATGTTTTTTCGACTACCTAACCTACCTAACCTAACCTAACCTAACTTTTTCTGCTACCTAACTTAACCTAAGCTATAAAGATAGGTTAGGTTAGGTTAGGTAGGGTTGGTTAGGTTCGGTCATATATCTACGTTAATTTCAACTCCAATAAAAAAAAATTGACCTCATTCATAATGAAATTGGTAGCTTTATCATTTCATAAGAAAAAAATTAGAGAAAATATATTAATTCTTGAAAACTTGGCTTATTAGGCAAATCGGGCCTTGCATAGTAGGCCGAGAAGTGCATTCTGGCTACTAGGTACGACATATATATATATATATATATATATATATGTCGTACCTAATAGCCAGAACGCACTTCTCAGCCTAATATGCAAGGCCCGATTTGCCTAATAAGCCAAGTTTTCATGAATTAATTGTTTTTCGACTACCTAACCTACCTAACCTAACCTAACCTAACTTTTTTCGGCTACCTAACCAAACCTAACCTATAAAGATAGGTTAGGTTAGGTTAGGTAGGGTTGGTTAGGTTCGGTCATATATCTACGTTAATTTTAACTCCAATAAAAAAAAAATGACCTCATACATAATGAAATGGGTAGCTTTATCATTTCATAAGAAAAAAATTAGAAAAAATATATTAATTCAGGAAAACTTGGCTTATTAGGCAAATCGGGCCTTGAATAGTAGGCCAAAAAGTGAGTTCTGGCTACTAGGTACGACATATATATATATATATATATATATATATATATATATATATATGTCGTACCTAATAGCCAGAACGCACTTCTCAGCCTACTATTCAAGGCCCGATTTGCCTAATAAGCCAAGTTTTCCTGAATTAATATATTTACTATAATTTTTTTCTTATGAAATGATAAAGCAACCCTTTTCTCTATGTATGAGGTCAATTTTTTTTTATTGGAGTTAAAATTAACGTAGATATATGACCGAACCTAACCAACCCTACCTAACCTAACCTAACCTATATTTATAGGTAAGGTTAGGTTAGGTAGCCAAAAAAAGCTAGGTTAGGTTAGGTTAGGTAGGTTTGGTAGACGAAAAAACATTAATTCATGAAAACTTGGCTTATTAGGCAAATCGGGCCTTGAATAGTAGGCTGAGAAGTGCGTTCTGGCTATTAGGTACGACATATATATATATATATATATATATATATATATGTCGTACCTAGTAGCCAGAACGCACTTCTCAGCCTACTATGCAAGGCCCGATTTGCCTAATAAGCCAAGCTTTCATGAAATAATAGTTTTTCGGCTACCTAACCTACCTAACCTAACCTAACCTAACTTTTTTGGCTACCTAACCTAACCTAAGCTATAAAGATAGGTTAGGTTAGGTTAGGTAGGGTTGGTTAGGTTCGGTCATATAACTACGTTAATTTTAAATCCAATAAAAAAAAATTAACCTCATACATAATGAAATGGGTAGCTTTATCATTTCATAAGAAAAAAATTAGAGAAAATATATTAATTCAGGAAAACTTGGCTTATTAGGCAAATCGGGCCTTGCATAGTAGGCTGAGAAGTGCGTTCTGGCTACTAGGTACGACATATATATATATATATATATATATATATATATATATATATATATATATATATATATATATATGTCGTACCTAGTAGCCAGAACTCACTTCTCAGCCTACTATTCAAGGCCCGATTTGCCTAATAAGCCAAGTTTTCCTGAATTAATATATTTTCTATGATTTTTTTCTTATGAAATGATAAAGCTGCCCTTTTCACTATGTATGAGGTCAATTTTTTTTTATTGGAGTTAAAATTAACGTAGATATATGACCGAACCTAACCAACCCTACCTAACCTAACCTCACCTATCTTTATAGGTAAGGTTAGGTTAGGTAGCCAAAAAAAGCTAGGTTAGGTTAGGTTAGGTAGGTTAGGTAGACGAAAAAACATTAATTCATGAAAACTTGGCTTATTAGGCAAAACAGGCCATGCATAGTAGGCTGAGAAGTGAGTTCTGGCTACTAGGTACGACATATATATATATATATATATATATATATATATATATATGTCGTACCTAGTAGCCAGAACTCACTTCTCAGCCTACTATTCAAGGCCCGATTTGCCTAATAAGCCAAGTTTTCCTGAATTAATATATTTACTATAATTTTTTTCTTATGAAATGATAAAGCTACCTTTTCACTATGTATGAGGTCGATTTTTTTTTATTGGAGTTAAAATTAACGTAGATATATGACCGAACCTAACCAACCCTACCTAACCTAACCTAACCTATATATATAGGTAAGGTTAGGTTAGGTAGCCAAAAAAAGCTAGGTTAGGTTAGGTTAGGTAGGTTAGGTAGACGAAAAAACATTAATTCATGAAAACTTGGCTTATTAGGCAAATCGAGCCTTGCATAGTAGGCTGAGAAGTGAGTTCTGGCTACTAGGTACGACATATATATATATATATATATATATATATATATATATATATATATATATATATATATATATATGTCGTACCTAGTAGCCAGAACTCACTTCTCAGCCTACTATGCAAGGCCCGATTTGCCTAATAAGCCTAGTTTTCATGAATTAATGTTTTTTCGACAACCTAACCTACCTAACCTAACGTTTTCGGCTACCTAACCTAACCTATAAAGATAGGTTAGGTTAGGTTAGGTAGGGTTGGTTAGGTTCCGTCATATATCTACGTTAATTTTAACTCCAATTAAAAAAAGTTGACCTCATACATAATGAAATGGGTAGCTTTATCATTTCATAAGAAAAAAATTAGAGAAAATATATTAATTCAGTAAAACTTGGCTTATTAGGCAAATCGGGCCTCGCATAGTAGGCTGAAAAGTGAGTTCTGGCTACTAGGTACGACATATATATATATATATATATATATATATATATATATATATATATATATATATATATATATATATATATATATATATATATATATATGTCGTACCTAGTAGCCAGAACGTCGTACTCGGCCTGCTATGCAAGGCCCGATTTGCCTAATAAGCCAAGTTTTCCTGAATTATTATATTTTCTCTAATTTTTTCTTATGAAATGATAAAGCTACCCATTTCATTATGTATGAGGTATATTTTTTTATTGGAGTTAAAATTAACGAAGATATATGACCGAACCTAACCAACCCTACCTAACCTAACCTATCGTATCTTTATAAGTTAGGTTAGGTTAGGTAGCATAAAAAGTTAGGTTAGGTTAGGTTAGGTAGGTTAGGTAGTCGAAAAACAATTAATTCATGAAAACCTGGCTTACTAGGCAAATCGGGCCTTGCATAGTAGGCTGAGAAGTGCGTTCTGGCTACTAGGTACGACATATATATATATATATATATATATATATATATATATATATATATATGTCGTACCTAGTAGCCAGAACTCACTTTTTGGCCTACTATTCAAGGCCCGATTTGCCTAATAAGCCAAGTTTTCCTGAATTAATATATTTTTCCTAATTTTTTTATTATGAAATGATAAAGCTACCCATTTCATTATGTATGAGGTCACTTTTTTTTTATTGGAGTTAAAATTAACGTAGATATATGACCGAACCTAACCAACCCTACCTAACCTAACCTAACCTATCTTTATAGGTTAGGTTTGGTTAGGTAGCATAAAAAGTTAGGTTAGGTTAGGTTAGTTAGGTTAGGTAGTCGAAAAACAATTAATTCATGAAAACTTGGCTTATTAGGCAAATCGGGCCTTGCATAGTAGGCTGAGAAGTGAGTTCTGGCTACTAGGTACGACATATATATATATATATATATATATATATATATATATATATATATATATATATATATATATTAAACCTACATTATTCTATATTTATTTCGAATATATAATATATTTAAATATATATATCCGTAATGTGAGATATTTTAAACATGAGAAAGCAGCAAACTGAAATGCATTTTACATCTGCAATATACATAAAATATTAAATCACAGATACTCAAGATACTCTACAATGTATTAGTACCAATTTAACCATATAATAATAAAATTAAAAGTACATATAAACATTATATTACCTGCATTTTGAAGCCAATAGATGTAGTGACTCAGGCTATGTTGACAAATGGAGGTTGTAGGAGACTTGGAGTCACTGACCAGCGAGGGATAATATGGCAACGTACAAAAATTACACTACACAAAAATATTTAGTCTAAAACTCAATTTAAACATCGAAAATATATTATATTAGATTGCAAATTGTTTCTCAGCATTTTGCTTTGTCATTATAGATATGTAATGTTGTATTTTATATTTTTTATTATTGTACAACTTGCAAACATGAAAACAATACAATTATGTCTCAGATGGTTCCTAGATAGGAATTCATTACCAAATCTTGATATATCCAAGTGTTTTCTGTGTTAATTGTTGTTATTTCGTGTATTATTTGATTTGTTTGTTAATATTATAGACTGAGTTTTAATATATTTGGAAATACATCACATTTCATCACAATCATTATGTTGGCGTCGGTCACCTGCAACCAATTGAGGCCATGGTGAGGGATCGAACTCTCACCCACCACGAACTTAAACGCATTACAACTGGGAATTCTATTCAGCTCACTAGTTGTTTTGATGGTGGTATCATTAATCCAGGTCTTACCTGCTCACTCTCTTGGGTAGGTTATAATGTTCGCTCACACTGTACTGCTCATAAAATTTTCTCATTGATTTTGGATAACATTTCTATTAAAAAATTATTAGTGTGTGAAAGCAAACATTGTTTTCGATTTAAAAGACAATACAGCCATCCGCCTTTACAGAGTTCTCTCCATGACGTGGGTGGTGTTTGGTCACCAGCAGTTTTCTACGCTGGTCTTTAACGCAAATACCTTTGGAATGTGGACGGTAAGTTTTTTTTTTTTGGCTTTTACTGCATTTAAAATGTTTATTGGAAAGGCCTTCCACTCGGTCTGTTTCCATTTTCTGTATTTTTTCCTTTAAAAAATAGAGCTGATTGAGTATTATTATTACAAATATATACTGTAGATTTGTATCACATTGTATACAGTTACACAGAGAAATCACTAAAGTGATATATATATTAATAAGAAATTGAACAGGAGCTCCAGTTGGGTTTCTCGTTGATATTTATCGTGTTAGTGGGATTTATGTGTGTAATTGACGCTGGGGCGTATGGTGTCGACCTACTTTACCCACACCTGTGTGCCTGGGGGTTCTATGAAACACTTAGTATGGCTTAAGGCGAGGTCTCCAGACTTTTGTCGATTCAGTAGAATCCCAGATTAAATAACTTTTAGTAAGGGTGGTACAGTGGTAGAGGTTGCAGCTGTTAGTCACGAGTTCGAGTCGTATAAAAGCCCGAGAGGATTTTCTCATTGTAGACAGTACATAAGAACAAAGGTAACTGCAGAAGGCCTATTGGTCCATACGACGCAGCTCCTATTTATACCCACCAATTCCCACTCATATACATGTCCATCCCACGCTTGAAAGAATCGAAGGACTCCACCTCCACCCCATTACGCGGTAATTGGTTCCACAAATCAACAACCTGGTTACCGAACCAGTATTTACCTGTCTTTCCTAAATCCTAACTTATCCAATTTATATCCATTGTTTCGTATTCTGTCTTGTGCTGATACATTTAATTCTCTATTAATATTCCCTTTGTAATGTCCATTCATCCACTTGTAAACCTCTATCATGTCACCCCTAAATCTCCGCCTTTCCAGTGAATGTAATTTAAGCTTTGTTAATCTTTCTTCATATGACAGGTTTCTAATTTGGAGGATTGACTTTATCATCCTACGCTGGACATGTTCAAGTGAATTTATATCCATTTTCTAGTACGGCGACCAAAACTGAACTGCGTAATCTAAATGGGGCCAAACCAGAGCAGGATATAGCTTTTTCTTTCAGGGAAATTACTGCGCGTGCCCTAAGCCTTTAGCTGGCCCATTAAGTGAACATAAGAACATAAGAACATAAGAACAAAGGCAACTGCAGAAGGCCTATTGGCCCATACGAGGCAGCTCCTATTTATAACCACCCAATCCCACTCATATACTTGTCCAACACGCGCTTGAAACAATCGAGGGACCCCACTTCCAGCACGTTACGCGGTAATTGGTTCCACAAATCAACAACCCTGTTACTGAACCAGTATTTACCCAAGTCTTTCCTAAATCTAAACTTATCCAATTTATACCCATTGTTTCGTGTTCTGTCTTGTGTTGATACTTTTAATACCCTATTAATATCCCCTTTGTTATGTCCATTCACCCACTTGTAAACCTCTATCATGTCACCCCTAACTCTTCGCCTTTCCAGTGAATGCAACTTAAGCTTTGTTAATCTTTCTTCATATGAAAGATTTCTAATTTGGGGAATTAACTTAGTCATCCTACGCTGGACACGTTCAAGTGAATTTATATCCATTCTATAATATGGCGACCAAAACTGAACTGCATAATCTAAATGGGGCCTAACTAGAGCAAGATATAGCTTGAGAACCACACCAGGTGTCTTGTTACTAACGCTGCGATTAATAAATCCAAGTGTCCGATTTGCCTTATTACGAACATTTATGCATTGATAATTTTGCTTTAAATTCTTACTAATCATAACTCCCAGATCCCTTTCGCAATTCGACTTCGCAGTCTCAACACCATCTAGCTCGTATCTTGTAACCCTATCATCATTACCTAACCTCAGAACTTTACATTTATCAGCATTAAACTGCATCTGCCAATCATTCGACCATTTCAAAACCCTATCTAGATCAACTTGAAGTGATAGTGAGTCCTCCTCCGAATTAATTTCCTTACCGATTTTCGTATCATCGGCAAATTTGCAAATGTTGCTACTCAAACCTGAATCTAAATCATTTATATATATTATAAACAACAGAGGTCCCAGGACAGAGCCCTGAGGCACCCCCACTTACAACATTTTCCCACTCTGACTTGACTCCATTTATACTAACTCTCTGTTTCCTTTGGTATAGTCATGCCCTAATCCAGCTTAATATAGCACCCCCAATACCATGAGACTCTAACTTTTTTTTTTATTATTTTTATTATTTTATTTTTAAGTGTTGCCTGTTTCTGTTTTACTTGGACGGAGTATGAGTATTTATGACTCGTATGGTCACTTCAGTAAGATTTTGCCCCGTGTGTTTAACAATTTCTGCTCTGTTGAATCAAAGTTGAACTCTTTTGGATTTGTAACTGTGCACTGTGTTAGATAATGTTACAGTGATAGCTGAAGAACAACACCAGGTGTCTTGTTACTAACGCTTCGATTAATAAATCCCAGTGTCCTATTTGCCTTACTACGAACATTTATGCACTGATATTTTTGTTTTAAATTCTTACTAATCATAACTGCCAGATCCCTTTCGCAATCCGACTTCGCAATCTCAATACTATCTAGCTCGTATCTTGTAACTCTATCATCATTACCTAGCCTCAGAACTTTACATTTATCAGCATTAAACTGCATCTGCCAATCTTTTGATCATGTCAAAACCCTATTTAGATCAACTTGGAGTGATATTGAGACTTTTTCCGTGTTTATTTCCCTCCCGATTTTTGTATCATCGGCAAATTATCAAATGTTACTGCTCAAACCTGAATCTAAATCATTTATATATATTATGAATAACAGAGGTCCCAGGACAGAGCCTATCTTGAGGATATCTTGAGAAGATTTCGGGTTACAGTTAGGATTGCTAAGGATAGTGATCCTTAGTGTCCCGCGGCCCGGTCCTCGACCAGGCCTCCCTTTTTGTTACACATACCCTCAGGAAGCAGCCCGTAGCAGCTATCTTACTCTAAGGTGCCTATTTACTGCTAAGTGAACAGTGGCATCAGGGTGAAAGAAACTCTTCCCATTTGTTTCCGCCTTCACCGGGAATCGAACCCAGAACCTCATGACTACGAATTAGAAGCGCTGTCCACTCAACTGTCAGGCCCCTTCAGTAAGTAGCCTTGAGGCACTCCACTTACAACATTTTCCCAGTCTGCCTTAACCCCATTTATACTAACTCTCTATTTCCTCTGGTATAGCCATGCCCTAACCCAACTTAATATAGCACCCCCAAAACCCTGAGCCTCTATCTTTTTAATCAGTCTTTCATGTGGCACTGTATAAAAATCTTTGCTAAAGTCAAGGTACACGACGTTACAAACCTTATCACCATCAACTGCCTCAACTCTGCTGAAATAAAATAATAGCAAATTTGTTAAACATGAACGGGACATTTGTAAAACCATGTTGACAAGTTGAGAATCTCTTATTAATTTATGTTTTTCAAGATGAAGACAAATGGTATTTGCAATTATCGATACAATTAACTTTCCCACAGTACACGTTAGGCTAATTGGCCGATTGTTTAATGCAAGTGATCTATCTTCTTTCTTAAAAATTGATAGCTCATTAGCAACCTTCCACGACTCTGGCACTCTGCCTGACTCAAATGGTTTATTAAATATGGTAGACAGTGGCTCACAAAGCTCCTCTTTGCATTCTTTAAGCACCCTGGCAAACACTTCATCCGGTCCTGGGGATTTGTTTGGTTTGAGGTTTTTACTATTTGTTTAATAATATCATCCCTGGTAATTGTTACACTAGTTAACCTGTCCCTCCTTCCCACCCACATAGATTTGTTCGGCTGAAGGCATAAGAGTTAAGTTCTTCTTTATTAAATACAGAGATAAAATATTTATTCAAAATACTACTCATCTCTTCGTCATTATCAGTTATCTGACCTTTCTCAGTTTTAATGGACCTATCCTTTCCCTAATATTTGTTAGAAATAACTGAAAAAAAAACGTTAGGATTTGCCTGTGCTTGCCCTGCTGTACGAACGTCATAGTTTCTTTTCGCCCTCCTTATACCTTTTTTAACATTTTTAACCAGTTGTACGAAATCTTGTTCTAAACTTACTTCCCCATTCTTAATCCTTTTGTACAAAGCTTTCTTTCTACCTTTAAGGTTCTTCAGATCCTGTGTTATCCATTTCAGGCCATTAGTATTCGATCTATTCAATTTGTACGGTATACTACATTCCTATGCTTTGCTTAAAATATTTTTAAATAAGTTAAATTTTGAAGTCACATCAAAATCCCTGTTTACATCACCCATCGCTGGGTTCACGTCTTGTTCCAAGACCGGCCCACCCTCTATGCCCAAGACTTTCCAATCTATTTGACCCCAAAAAAATTCTTAGACAATTAAAATAAGTTTTTCGAAAATCTGGCACTATAACAGAATTTTCTCCTACAGATCTATTCCATTCTATGCAAAATCTGATTACTTTCTGATCACTGTTTCCTAGCTCACTCCCCATTTCGATGTCATTAATTTGTATTTCCCTTTTTAGTCTAACATATTATTTTCCTTCGTTGTGTTGGGGTTTACCTCACTTCTTACTCTTTAGTCTTGCTCTAGGGTGAGCAATAGTTATGCTCAAAGTCACTCACCGTAGCCCTGCGGGTCTTCACTCAATCCTCACGGCGCCACTGCACGCCAGGAGAGTCTCCCAGTCAATCTTAACGGCCTCTTATTAAGAAAGAGTGAGAACACGACTCGTTCACTTGACTGTCGTGTGCCCTCCCTAACAATCGGGCTCTACGGTTAACCACAAGGTCGCCAACTGGTGTTTTAGGTGGCCAGTAACACCATCAGTGGACTGGAGGAATTAGTGGTAGCCTTGGCAAGGTCACACTCAAAAGATCAGGAAGGTACTTCTTGTTATCACTCTATGCTTACCAGTATAATATAGCCACAAGATCAATGGAGGGGATGATATAAACACAAAGATAGTTTTGTATTTTACTTAAAATGTATGAAAGATGTCACAAAGGCCAAACAACAACAAATAAATCAACTGATCCTGACGCGGCCGGTAATTCCCACGAATAGTATGCGATCACTAGGTGGCAACACCTCCCCTCCTCATCAAGTGTCAAGAACAGCTGATCGCCTGGCCTCTCCGCGCAAAAGCTTTGCTTGTTTTCTAGATTCACGCGCGCTGTTTCTTTAAATTCTCCAATATTACTAGAAACTCGCACACTCGATATTGGCACAAATAAACCGTATTACTCAGTTACACTGTACTCAGGCTCAAACAGTCTTTTCTACAATCAATGCTACCATGACTCACTGTAATGGCTTTACTTTGTTCTTCACTCAGCAATATATTATGAACTATTAACACTGGAGTTTTCAGTACTTTCTCTCGTGGGCGATAACGCAATAATTCACTGTACTCACAAACGACTTATCACTGCATGAACATAGCATATATAATGTAGATACATCAAATATCAATACATGGAAAATAAATGATTTCTGGGCACACAGCCTAACCTTCAAATACTGGCATAATATTATATATAATTTATCACTATATGTTCATATCAAAATCTATAGAAAGATATACACAACACAGTAAATTTATCACTTGTTCCTGGTGCCTGTACACACCAATAATCAACATGAATATTACTAGTACTCTTGATAGTACTGTCTAGCACACTGGTGCTTTATCGTGACATGGGTGAGACTTGCTCACGACATATAAAATCCTCAGGCTAGATAATATAGCCGAATAACATAGCTAACTAAAGGGGAATGGGGAGGGAACTAGAAACACCTACTTCACCCTATCCTCCGATGAGAGTCGAGATGTAGCTCCGGGTCCTCGTGTCGGGAACGCCCCCACACGACACGTTGTCGTGTCCTACCAGAGCCTCTCGTCGTCCCACCGTTTAGCGCGTCGTCTCCGTGCCTCCTCACTGCAGGTCCGTCCTCCTTCTTAACTTCTTGAAGGTTGGAGTCGGTCTCCTGGCCGTCGTCTTCTCCCAGCAACGGCTGTCGCCTATGTCTCAGCTACAGTCGTCCGGTTTCCCCAAATAGTCCTCTCTTCCTCAGCTACCCAGTGGCTCTGTCTGCCACTACGCTGTCACGAACTGGTGAATTGCCACAGACGTCACATACGTCGCTGCACGGCTTCACTGCTTCTTGCACAGCACCTGACTGGAGCACTTGTTGCTCAAATAACCGTCAATTCCCTCTTCTGGTTCAACACATGAACTAGGGAAGACTTCTCAGAGTACTGGCGGACTTCAGGTGACGCGTAAATCCACGGGAGCGGGAAACAACTGTCCAACTGACAGGACCAACCGTCGCACGTCCGACCTCTATGACGTGTCTTGTCTGACTGATGGCGCCAGAGTGGCGCGCGGCCTGGACCCCCTTCCTTCGTGACGTCACTTTCGCCACAGGAGGTTTTCATTGGCTCCCGGTGCCACATTGCTGTCGGTGACCAATCCGGTGCCACTGACGTCCCACGGTTTTGGCGGGAGATCAGGGAGGCTAGCGCCATCTTGGCTCCCTAAAGGGCCTAAACCACAGGCCAAAATATTACTATTTCACAAATTTCTCGGCTCTCCGAGAACACTTCACTCTCTCCCATATATCAAATTGTAGCCTGCAACGTAGAGAACGCTTGGGAAAAGTAGACATGACTCTTACTGCAGGCGTGGGAGAATTATAAGGGGGGAACTCCGTCACAGTTGGTTCCTTAATGTGTTACTTAAGATAGTAATCCTCAATAAATTCTAAAAAAAATTCAACTCTTTATTCCCTGTTGTGTTAATCCAGTTAATTCCACTAAAATTAAAGTCACCCATGACACAAATACTGTTTGACCTAGATGATCCACATATTTCATCCCATAGATGATTTGGTTCTCTTCTATCTACGCTTGGTGGCCTTATATAACTCCTATTATAAGATTATTAGCTTTTTCGTTTTATTCTAGCCAAATTATTTCTTTGTGTGGTTTAGTTTTGATTCCCTCTTTGAGACTAAATTTAAAATGTTCCCTAACCTATGTGGTTACTCGCCTTCCTCGTCTAATATCTTTCTGTGTGAAATAGTTTAAATTCGTTTTTTGATATTCAGCTAATAGTTCCCTGTTTTCTACATTCATCCATGTTTCGGTAAGTGCAGTAATATCTATTGTTTCTGGGCAAACAACAACATTTAAATAGTTTATTTTGTTTCTTAAACTCCCACTGTTCATGTAATATACCTAAGTGTATTGTTATTTTGAGGCCCTTCTTCTTCACTGTACATTTTGCCATTCCCCTAACCCCCCCCCCCCCCCCCCCACCAACACATACTTTTATGCCTCCTTTCTCCCCATAACACTATCAACTAACAGTTTAAACCCAAACAAACACCTCTAACCACAGGTTCCAACGAGTTGTAACAGCAACAACAGCAGCGCTAGATAAATGTACCCCATCCCGAGCATATATGTCATTCCTTCCATAGAAGTGTTCCCAGTTATCAAAGAATGATATTGCATTGAATTTACAATATATGTTCAGTCAGCAATTGACACCAAGTGCCCTCGACAACCATTCATTTCCAACTCCCTTTCTTTAATGAATGCCAAATATGATCGGGATTCCTCCCCTGCTCCTAACTAATTCTATGGCTGTCTTAAACCATTGTATCAGTGCCTCACTCCTAACTCGTCCTACATCATTTCTACCGGAAATGATGTTGATCCGGATATTTTCGTTAGATGATATTTTCGTTAACTTTCGTGAAATGAAGTTATAGAATGTTAATCCAGATATTTTCTTCAGAAAGTTGAATGTAGCACAAAGAAGGAACAACGGTTTCAAGCTCAAAAAATCATAATGTAGGACTGGGAACAGTAGATGCTTTTTCACCCACAGGGTTATTAACCCATGGAACCGCCTACCCACCGAAGCCATAACTGCCAAAACTGTGCTGAATTTCAAAATATACCTGGAAAAGATCATCAAGGCAAATGGGGCGACCTTCGAGAGGTCGCCGTCTTCCTTTCCTCGTCGAGGCCACTAGGGTTAGTGGTTATCAGGTAAATCAGGTAAAAAATCTATGTGGCTCCATAATAAAAACTTATTAGATTTGTTACACAGGATCTTACGTTCGAAAACCACACTGTATGTTATTATACCATTTCTTTCTAGGTGTTCAACCATTTGGCTTTAACAAGTTTTTCTGGTGTTTTGACTACCACGCTTGTTAATTAATAACACGGGTCTATAATTTAGAGGTTACTCTCGACTACCATTTTTATAAATTGGTACTATGTTTGCCTTTTTCTTTACATCTGCTAAAATTGTTGCGTACAAGGATATCTGGAATATTAATTGGAGTGGAATGCTCAGCTCAGTTGCACGTTCTCACAGCACCCAAGGTGAAAATCCATCAGGTCTACACAACCGTGTGTGTGTGTGCATTTACTGTTTGTGTTTGCAGAATCAAGGTATTAGCTCTTGGGCCCTGCGTTTCTAACAAATCTATTTTTCCTTAACTATATCTACTACATATATTTACCTCTAACACACGCACACACACCCAGGAAGCAGCCCGTAGCAGATGTCTAGCTCCCAGGTACCTATTTTCTGCTAGGTGAGCAGGAGCATCAGAGAGAAAGAAACTCTGCCCATTTGTTTCTGCCTCGGCCGGGAATCGTACCCGGCCCATTATGACTAAGACCCCCAAGCGCTATCCACTCAGCCGCGAGGCCCCATTGTGTGTGTGTTTTAGTATGACCTGGGGAGGCCTGGTCGACGACCGGGCCGCGGGGACGCTAAGCCCTGGAAGCACCTCAAGGTAACCTCAAGGTAGGACCGTTTGTCGTTGCTCCTTATAAAAAATATGTTTAAAATAATTTTGCTTTAAATACATAAAAAAAATTTAATAAAAATAATAAATATTTAATTTTCTTTCTCAAGAAAGTGAACAGTTTCTTGGATCAAGTGGTAAACAACACCTACCCAAGTGTTGACACGTTTTTCTTCGTTGGAGGTCTCTTGTTATCCTTCTCAGTTCTCAGGCAACTCAAGAAGACTGGAAGGTTCAACATTATTGTGTTTTACATTCACAGAATTGTCAGGTACGCTCTTTATTTTCAGTGTATATATATATACATCCTTGTATTGTGTATATATACATGCCTAAAATTCTACCTCTATCTTATGTTCTTAATATGCATTTATTATGAGTAAAACATTATTATTATTATTATTATTATTATTGAACAAATCTACAAAGGCCTTGATGAGGGTTTGAACCTATGTGCTGGGTGTTCCCAAACGTGTTCAAGTCCACTTTTCCTTAGGAGCGTCTGTGAACATCTGCGCATTGGTTCGAAGCCCTCATCAAAGCCCTCATCAAAGCCCTTGTGGATTTGTTCATTTGATAAATCATGTTATTTTGTTTTCTGTTTGTATTATTATTATTATTATTATTATTATTATTATTATTATTATTATTATTATTATTATTATTATTATTATTATTATTTATTATTATTATTAGTATTCTTATAATTATTATTTTTATTTTTGAGAAAATCCTCCAAGGCTGTGAGGCGACACGAACTCATGTTTTCTCACTTGAGATACACGTTGCGTATCCTAAGATAGGGCGTATGGTGTTCTTAGCCTTGGCCTGGCTTCAGGAGGGGCCTCCAAACTTCCTGTGATTTCAGCTGGGTCCTGGTAGTGGGTTTGTTTCGCCTCACAGCCCTGGTGGATTTTCTCAACGATGTATCACGTTAGTGTGATTTTCTGTACATTATTATCATTATTATCAGTGATAGTATTATTGGTCTTGGCATTTATGGTCATTCATATAGAGATTTTACATTAGTTTGATGTTGGTTTTAAGACCCATCAACCACTTTAGGGTTTTTAAGACCCCCACAAGAGCTTACTGACCAACCAGGAAGTATAATTCATTGTATCGGGGACAGGCAGCCAGTGTATATATATATATATATATATATATATATATATATATATGTCGTACCTAGTAGCCAGAATGCACTTTTTAGCCTATTATGCAAAGCCCGATTTGCCTAATAAGCCAAGTTTTCATGAATTAATTGTTTTTCGACTACCTAACCTACCTAACCTAACCTAACCTAACTTTTTGGCTACCTAACCTAACCTAACCTATAAGATAGGTTAGGTTAGGTTAGGTAGGTTGGTTAGGTTCGGTCATATATCTACGTTAATTTTAACTCCAATAAAAAAAATTGACCTCATACATAATGAAATGGGTAGCTTTATCATTTGATTAGAAAAAAATTAGAGAAAATATATTAATTCAGGAAAACTTGGCTTATTAGGCAAATTGGGCCTTGCATAGTAGGCTGAGAAGTGCGTTCTGGCTACTAGGTACGACATATATATATATATATATATATATATATATATATATATATATATTGTATAATTAATTCCATACAGTCCCACAAAAGTGCGCTTAATATCTCTACAGCAAATCTACACATATATTCAAACCTGCGCTTGAAAAGCATCATTCTAAAGTAAACAGGACCCTCGAAAAAGAGCTCTGAATTTTGCGTGCTCTTAAACAATGAACTCGACGGGCTCTACAGAGGCAAATAGAGCCTTACTGTGCTTGATGTGGGGGGCAATTAAGCTGCCTGAATGGGTAAAAGCAGGATCGCCGATAGGAAGTAAGACTTGCTGAAAAGCAGGTAGGTAGGCAGGCAAGCAGGCGAGCACACAAGCTGGACGGTATGGGCAAATACATGGATGTGAGCAGGAAAGGACACAAGCAGGCAGTCAGACAGGTGGGGGCTGTCTAGATAGGAAGCAGGTAGATAGGAAATCAAGCAGGTTCGCTGACAGCAAAAATGCAGCAATGGCAAGCATGCAAGCAAACAAAAAGAGCCACGCAAATAAGCCGGAAAAGCAGAAAGAAAGGCAGGCACTTATATATATATATATATATATATATATATATATATATATATATATATATATATATATATATATATATATATATATATATATATATATATATATATATATATATATATATATATATATATATATATATATATATGTATGTATATATACATGTCAGGCTTATATCAAGGTCCCTCTCCCAAGGATGCAACCCAACAATAAGCTAACTCCTGGGTATCTATTTAGTACTAGGTGAACGCTAGAAATATGTAATAGGAAATAGGAAACAAGCCCAACCATTTCTGTCCCGCCAGGGATTCAAACCCGGAATTTCCGATTGTGAGTCGAGAACGAACCAGACTGTATTACATTGCTCAGAACTAAAGTAAACTCTTAAGTGCATATACACTGAGTAGCAAGGTACACTTTTCATTCTATGTAATACTTTGGCCAGTTGCCAGCACTTATGGTAGTATCGACTACCAATTTAAGAAGTACAGTGGCTCATAGTGTATCAATGCTTCTAAAGGGCACAGGAGAGGAGTAACTATATCTAAGTAGATAGGGAATACGATCCTTACTCCTGTAAATGCTTACAGTATTATAGAAGTGAATTCCTCTTAGCTACACTAACTTTACTATAGTAATATGTGCTTCCTAGCTGTATTAATACGATAATGAAGCATTCAGCCTAGTTTTTATCAGCCATATATCTTACTGAAAGAAATTTATGTATGAAAATTGCCCCCCCCCCCCCCCCAAAAAAAAAAAGACGTAAACGTCATGGATTTCTGAACATTAAACACTCTGGCAGTCCTTGGCCTGACTAGGCAAATACACACACAAAAAAAAAATTGTACACCTAACCACTGCTTTCTTCCTTCCTGAGGTGCATAGTTATTTTTTCGTTACGGAACGCTTTCGGCACTAGTCTTAACTCATGACATTTTATGTGTGTTTCAACAGTTATTTCAGTTTTTTCTTATGTGAAAACCTGTGAAGTTGAGACAGTTAGAACGAATGTTAAAATCCCCGCAATGCTCTTTCTGATTTGTTATTCACATATCACGTCATTGTGATTTCTTTGTGTTTTGAGACAGTTTGTGAGTATATATGTTTTGAGACATTTGTGAGTAGAGAGAGTTGGAGATTGGAGAGAGAAGGGAAAGTGAGGAGAGAGAGGGGGGATGAGGAGAGAGAAGGGGGGGAAGAGAGGAGAGAGAGGGGGGAGTGAGGAGAAAGAAGGGGAGTGAGAAGAGAGAGGGGGAGTATCTAGGGGGGGGGAGACCTTTTGTGAGTTGAGATAGGAGATTGGAGAGAGAATGGAGAGTGAGAGAGAGGGGGGGAATGAAGAGAGAGAGGGGGGGGAGAGGAGAGAGAGGGGGAGTGAGGAGAGAGAATGGGAGTGACGAGAAAGATGGGGTATGAGAAGAGAGAGGGGGATGAGGAGGAGAAGTGGGAAGTGAGGAGAAAGTGGGGAAGTGAGGAGAGAGAGGGGTGGAGTGAGGGGAGAGAGAGAGAGGGGGGGGTGAGAGAGAGAGTGGAAAGTGAGGACAGATGATAGGGAGTGAGGAGAGAGAGGAGAGTGGGTAAGAGAGAGGGGGGAGTGAGGAATGAGAAGGGGAGTGAGTAGAGAGAAAGGGGGAGTGATGAGAGAGAAGGGGGAGTGATGAAAGAGAGGGGAAGAGGAGAGAGAGAGAGAGAGAGAGAGAGAGAGAGAGAGAGAGAGAGAGAGAGAGAGAGAGAGAGAGAGAGAGAGAGAGAGGGAGAGAGAGAGAGAGAGAGGGAGTAGAGAGAGAGAGAATAGAGAGAGAGAGAGAGAGAGAGAGAGAGAGAGAGAGAGAGAGAGAGAGAAGAGAGAGAGAGAGAGAGAGAGAGAGAGAGAGAGAGAGAGAGAGGGAGAGAGATAGAGGAGAGAGAGAGAGAGAGATTAGAGAGAGTCTAGAGAGAGAGAGAGAGAGAGGGAGAGATCGAGGAAGAGAGAGAGAGAAGAGAGAGAGAGGAGAGAGAGAGAGAGGGAGAGAGAGAGAGAGAGAGAGAGAGAGAGAGAGGAGAGAGAGATGGAGGATAGAGAGAGAAGAGAGAGAGAGAGAGAAGAGAGGAGAGAACGAGAGAGAGAGAGAGAGGAGGAGAGATGAGAGAGAAGACCCCAGAGAGATGGATGCAGTGAGGGGAGAGTTAGAAGTAAGGAGAAGGGAAGAGAGAAGAAAGCGGGGGAGTGAGGCGAGTGAGAGGGGGACTGAAAAAAGAGGAGGAGGAGTGAGGAGAGAAAAGAGAGAGAGAAGGGAGTGAGGAGGGAGAGAGGGGGTCGACTGAAGAGAGAGACAGAGGGAGGGGGGGAGGAGTGAGGAGAGAGAGAGCCTCCCTCAACTAGTGAACATATGTGTTAGCAAAAAAAAAAGGTTAATTTTTCCCTTCGTAAAGCCAATGACAATTAAGGATCTCAATACCAGCATTTGAATGGTATATATACATATATATATATATATATATATATATATATATATATATATATATATATATATATATATATATATATATATATGATATATATATATATATATATATATACACAACTTTAGAACACTTTCCCACCAGGAGACTCGAACCCTAGCCAGCACAGAAGCCTTCCAGCAACTGGCATAACAGGTATGCCTTTAACCCACTGTGCAGTGGGTTAAAGGCGTACCTGTTATGCCAGTTGCTGGAAGGCTTCTGTGCTGGCTAGGGTTCGAGTCTCCTGGTGGGAAAGTGTTCTAAAGTTGTATAACTTCACTCTCGTGTTTAGGAGAGTTGTGCATCATATATATATATATATATATATATATATATATATATATATATATATATATATATATATATATATATTTATATATATATATATATATATATGCGGAAAATCCACAGAGAAATATGAAAGGAGGTGAACGTTTCGGCTTTGTTAAAGCCTTTGTCAACACCAGACTGTTGACCAGATACAGACTATCGCTGTATCTATCGATGATTTCCGTGTTCTTTGTTAAGACTTCAGTCTGGTGTTGACAAAGGCTTTAACAAAGCCGAAACGTTCACCTCCTTTCATATTTCTCTGTGGATTTTCCGCATAAAATGATCAGTGTTTTGTGATCGTCAATTGCATATATATATATATATATATATATATATATATATATATATATATATATATATATATATATATATATATATATATTAGTATATTTTGGTAGCAGTCTTTCCTGTAGACATATATTATTAAATATGACCGAAAAAGTAAGATTAATAATTCTAACTCGAATTTTCTCAATATTTCTTATATTTCTTTTCACTGTTGATGGTAATTGAAAAATCAATTCTCCAAAATTCATTTTTATTTCTAGTCTGACGCGACACTTGAACGCGTTTCATAATAACTTATTACATTTTTAAAGACTTTAGTTTACATACACACAACTATAACCTGCAAACACTAAACAGAGTTTAAACAGCTTTGATTTTATACCTGCATTTGGGTGAGGTGATATGTTACAACACTTTTGGATGAGGTGAAAACAAACTTTCAACACAAGACAGAACACGAAACAATGGGTATAATATTTTGTAAGTTAAAGGGAAGAATGGAAGTAACTGCAAAGGGCCTATTGACCCATATTTCTTGATGCTTCTATATTGGTGCGGAGTCTTGAAGTGGGTAGAATATAGTTGTGCATTAATTGGCTGTTGATTGCTGGTGTCGACTTCTTAATGTGTAGTGCCTCGCAGATATCTAGCCGCCTGCTATCGCTGTATCTATCGATGATTTCCGTGTTCTTTGTTAAGACTTCTCTGGTGATGGTCTGGTTGTGGGAAGAGATTATATGTTCCTTAATGGAGCCCTGTTGCTTATGCATCGTTAATCGCCTGGAAAGAGATGTTGTTGTCTTGCCTATATACTGAGTTCTTTGAGGCTTACAGTCCCCAAGCGGGCATTTGAAGGCATAGACGACATTGTTCTCTTCTAAAGCGTTTTGCTTTGTGTCTGGAGAGTTTCTCATGCATTATCTCACTATTTTCATAGTATTATCTCACATCTCTGACCTTTATTATAAAGGTCAGAGATGTGCTTTATTATATAAAGGTCAATAACATACATACATAATCTCACACATTTAGCTTGTGAATATTTTGCTTATAAAATATCGCGCTGGGGATCCCAACAGGTTGGTACCGTCTATTGGGCTGGTTGCTGGGCTGTATGCTACTGTTGCTCACTTGTTTGTGTCCGGACCAATAGCTGATTACTGGACTGTCGTGCAGAGAAGCTGCCAACTCACCTGGTGGCGAGATGTGCTATTCATTGATAACTTTGTGTCGGACCCAATTGAACCCGGCACTCAGGGAGACGTGAGTTGCAGAAAATTGTTTCTGTAAGTTTTCTTAATGGTCAAAATTCACATATATACTCCTAAATTTTTTTAACAATCTGTTATGATTATTTAATATATATTATTATTAGGTATCAAGTGCATGAAATTATATGCAGATGTGTATCAAAATATATCTGAGCTTTAATATTTTAACGAGTAATAACAGTTATTGTTACAGTTTAGTGTGGTATCTGTACAGTGGCAGTGCACATAAAGTATAGAAAATAAAAACTTACACATTCTTCAGTGTCTGGGACAGTGCTGGTACCTGGCAGTGGACACACAGTTCTACCTGATCTCTCCTCTCATTCTCCTCCCCCTCTACTTCTACAGTGCTGTAGGTGGGTTATCGTTCCTCATAAATTTTTCCAAATTTTTTTTAAGTATTGATTGAGAAAATGGAAGACAGTTTAAATTCATTTATGTCGTCAAAAACCTGTATAATTTGTATAGCAAATACTCATATGCAACATAATGTTATATTTTTGGAAGTAGAGGATAAAGACTAAAAATAGAGAAAAATTAGATACCATGCAACGTGCACACTCAGCAACCATGAACATAGAAAACACTAGAGAGAAGCGTACCCCATGTTGACAACCCCTCAGAATGGAGGCATAAACTAATCTTCTTGCAACACATGTTGCAGGTCAAGTGTTGCTGTACGTGCTCAGTCTCGCCTCGGTCATCATCCCCGCCTCCATCATATATGCATATGACCTCGCACCTACTAATTTAATTGTGGACCCGTGAGTTGATTGGGGATTATTACACTTGTGTGTACTCCTCATATAAACATTAGTTCCCGAAATTGTGCATATTTGTTATTTATATCTTTATATCTGCAATGACAATACAAATTGTCATTGCTAAACTATGTTATGCTCGGAAATAACTCAAAAATATTATATATTTTCTGAAAATAAAATATTTATTCCATGCATATAACACACACACACACGTGCATTACATGGATATTATGTATTGATATTGCTTGTATTATGAAGATAATTGTTACTGTAACTGTTATTCAGCAAGTCGAATGATTACGTGGAGATGGTGTACTCGAAACCTTGGTGCCGAGCCGGGCCCTGGCTGGTGGGCATCTGGCTAGGCTATGTCTTCTACACTCAAGGGAACAAGAGGGTCATTCTTACCAAGGTAAGAAGGAAACTTCCTTATTCACGTAATGACATGCTTCTTGATTTTGTTAATTTATTATGCACCCAATCCCGTGGCCTGTAGTGGACCCCATACTTATACTGAGGGCAGTAGTGGACCCCATACTTATACTGAGGGCGGTAGTGGACCCCATACTTATACTAAGGGCGGTAGTGGACCCCATACTTATACTGAGGGCGAACGTGGACCCCATACTTATACTGAAGGCAGTAGTGGACCCCATACTTATACTAAGGGCGGTAGTGGACCCCATACTTATACTGAGGGCGAACGTGGACCCCATACTTATATTGAACGCAGTAGTGGACCCCATACTTATACTAAGGGCGGTAGTGAGCCCTATACATATACTGAGGGCATAGTGAACCCTATACATATACTGAGGGCGGTAGTAAACCCTATACATATTCTGAGGGCGGTAGTGAACCCTATACATATACTGAGGGTGATAGTGGACCCCATACTTATACTAAGGGCAGTAGTGGTACATATATATAAATACGAACAAGCCTGAATGGTCCCCAGGACTATATGCGATGGAAAACTCCCACCCCAGAAGAGACTCGAACCCATACTCCCTGGAGCAACGCAACTGGAATCTACAGGATGCCTTAATCCGCTTGACCATCAGGACAATAAGGAAGTGATAGCTGAAGCTATTTGAACCACTTCCCCGCTGGCACTCGGATGGTAATCTTGGGCAAAGCATTTTATCAAATCACCTCTTTCTTTGGGGCCCATGTGAGGATCACAAATGCGAACAAGCCTGAATGATCCCCAGGACTATATGCGACTGAAAACTCACACCTCAGAAGTGACTCGAACCCATACTCCCAGGAGCAACGCAACTGGTATCTACAGGACGCCTTAATCCGCTTGACCATCACAACCGGACAATAAGGAAGTGATAGCCGAAGCTATTTGAACCACTTCCCCGCTGGCACTCGGATGGTAATCTTGGGCATAGCATTTTATCAAATCACCTCATTCTTTGGAGCACACGTGAGGAACACAAATACGAACAAGCCTAAATGGTCCCCAGGACTATATGCAACTGAAAACTCACACCCCAGAAGTGACTCGAACCCATACTCCCAGGAGCAACGCAACTGGTATCTACAGGACGCCTTAATCTGCTTGTAGTCCTGTAAAAATCTTGTATCTATCTCTTTTCGTTTTATAGTAAATCTTGTATGTAGAAGTTGTATCTTCTAATAGAAGATACAACTAACGATTTACTATAAAACCAAAAAAACGGCCAGCCTACTTATGAGAAACTCTCCAGACACAAAGCAGAATGCTTTAAAAGAGACCAATGTCGTCTATGCCTTCAAATGCCCACTTGGGGACTGTAAGCCTCAAAGAACTCAGTATATAGGCAAGACAACATCTCTTTCCAGGCGATTAACGATGCATAAGCAACAGGGCTCCATTATGGAACATATAATCTCTTCCCACAACCAGACCATAACCAGAGAAATCTTAGCAAACAACACAGAAATCATCGATAGATACAGCGACAGCAGGCGGCTTGACATCTGCGAGGCACTACACATCAAGAAGTCAACACCAGCAATCAACAGCCAATTAATGCACAACTATATTCAACCCACTTCAAGACTCCGCTCCAATATAGAAGCATCAAGAAATATGGGCCAATAGGCCCTCTGCAGTTACTTCCATTCTTACCTTCAATTTACCAAATTAATACCCATTGTTTCGTGTTCTGTCCTGTGTTGAAAGTTTTGTTCACCTCATCCAAAACTGTTGTAACATATCACCTCACCCAAAATGCGGGTATAAAATAAAATGAAAGTTGTTTAAATCATAGCGTAGTAAGAACTCTGTTTAGTGTTTGCAGGTTATAGTTGTGTGTGTAAGCTAAAAGTCTTTGAAAATGTAATAAGTTATTACGAAACGCGTTCAAGTGTCGCATGAGACTAGAAATAGAAATTAATTTTGGAGAATTGATTTTTAAATTACCATCAATAGTGAAAAGAAACATAAAGAAATATTGAGAAAATTCGTGTTAGAATTATTAATCATACTTTTTCGGTCATATTTAATAATATATATCTACAGGAAAGACTGCTACCATATATACTAATATATATATATATATATATATATGTCGTACCTAGTAGCCAGAACTCACTTTTTGGCCTACTATTCAAGGCCCGATTTGCCTAATAAGCCAAGTTTTCCTGAATTAATATATTTTTTCTAATTTTTTTCTTATGAAATGATAAAGCTACCCATTTCATTATGTATGAGGTCAATTTTTTTTATTGGAGTTAAAATTAACGTAGATATATGACCGAACCTAACCAACCCTACCTAACCTAACCTAACCTATATATATAGGTAAGGTTAGGTTAGGTAGCCAAAAAAAGCTAGGTTAGGTTAGGTAGACGAAAAAACATTAATTCATGAAAACTTGGCTTATTAGGCAAATCGGGCCTTGCATAGTAGGCTGAGAAGTGAGTTCTGGCTACTAGGTACGACATATATATAATATATATATTAGTATATTTTGGTAGCAGTCTTTCCTGTAGACATATATTATTAAATATGACCGAAAAAGTAAGATTAATAATTCTAACACGAATTTTCTCAATCTTTCGTACATTTCGTTTCACTGTTGGAGGTAAATCAAAAATCAATTCTCCAAAATTCATTTTTATTTCTAGTCTGATGCGACACAAGCGCGTTTCGTAAAACTTATTACATTTTCAAAGACTTTAGTTCACAAATACACAACTGAATAGAACTTACTCATCTCCGATTTTATATCTACATTTGAGTGAGGTGGAAGGGGTGATGTGGCATTAATACAAGACAGAACAAGATGTGGTGTTGCAAACCCGTTCTCACACAAGACAGCACATATGTGACCTAATGCTTAAAGTCAATATGTTGAATATGAATTAGTAAATATGTGATATATTCCCAGTTACTTTTTTTACCAAGGCCCAAACTCTTCCTCACGTACCAATTTACGTGTCACAGTACCCGTCCGTCAACATAGATAGCAGAATATTCGTGATTGGTTCAATTATAAGGAAAATTGTAGTTTTCAGGTCCCACATGGGTTGTGAAATTTACCTACTGTTGTCCATGCTCTTATAATATTACAGATCAGCTATATCCTATTGAAGGCTCGTAGTTTTGTTTTGAGAAATATTAGTTGTTCTTAGTAAATTATAATAAGCACTATAAATTATTACATAGAATAACAGTGCTTCACCAATCAATATTATATACCATAGTTTGGCTTTAAAAATCTTTAAAGAATGTTTTGTAGGAACGCTAACAGAAAACGATGTTACATTTGAATGTCTATGGGGTAAACTACTGCAAACAGGACGGTATTGTGTCTACTATACCAACTATAGCTAGGATGGGTATATTGTCACCTACCGCCTGTTAGGTGGGAAAGGGGTCCAATACCACCCACAGGATGGGTATGAGGGTCACATCCACCCACAGGATGAGTATGGGGATCACATCCACCCACAGGAAGGGTATGGGGTCCAATACCACCCACAGGATGAGTATGGCGTCCACTACAACCCACAGGATGGGTATGGGGCTCCAACCACCCATAGAATGGGTATGGGGCTCCAACCACAAATAAAATGGGTATAGGGTCCAATAACACCCACTGGATGTGTATTGCTTCCATTGCCGCGCGTCGAGCTCGAAAACCGCAGCATTCATCTCAGAACCATGCCTATTTCACACAGATTCCTTAATAAACGTAAGAGTTTTATATGTCACAAGAAAGATAGAAATATAAGCTTCATTCTAAATACCTTACCATGGGCATATTTAAATTTAAAGCGAAGATACGTGTACTTTTATAATAGCCGAGCTTTAACCCCGGACAGATTGATCGACCGAGCAACTCTCTCTCAGAACAATGTTTATTTCACGTGAATTCGTTAATAAACATATATGTTTTATATGTCTCAAGAAAGGCAGACATATAAGCTTCACTTTAAACACTTTACCATAGACATATTTAAAGTTCTAATGAAGATACATGTATTTTAAAAATTACGGAGCTCCCACCCCGTACAGACTGAACGACAGAGCAACTCTCTCTCAGATCAATGTTTATTTCACGTAAATTCGTTAATAAACACAAATGTTTTATATGTCTTAAGCAAGATAGAAATAAGAGCTTCATTTTCAATACATTACAATAGACATATTTATAGCTCAAGTGAAGATACATATGTTTTTATAGTAGCGCTCAGTAGCTTGTCGGGCATGGAGTGCAGACGCCTACGCACTTGCCGATATATTGTATAATTATCAAAGATACGCTAATAAAGCCTAAAATCTTATATACCTCCAGATAGACCGAGATATGAACATTATTATGATTTCACCAAATGAAATATATCATGTTCGAGAACAAAGATATATCAATTTTAAATTAAGTTTCGACTCTTGGTCGGGCGAGAGAGAGGGAGCGACTCTCGCCCCATCTATTGGAGATTCTGTCCACTAAAGACCCAAAGCTACTCAAACCCTCCTAGCATTATTTAAGTAATGAAGTAATATGGTATATTTACTATAATGTGGGTGCTGAATGCAGAACATGAGAAAACATATATTTACTCCAAACTAATATAATTTCATTATGAAATAAGTAAATAAGTAGCATCAAAGGAAGTCGACGGTCCAAGCGTCAATGTTGTGGAACGACTTATCCAAGATATATCGTTGTTCGGAAAGTGTTTGTTGGCATATCCAGTTGTCGCACTTCTCTGCACAAATTATCACAAATTTAAATTATAATGTTAACAAGTAGAATACGTATTTTTAATAAAATCTAACATAGCTAGCCAGAAAACATTTAACATTTATTAAAAAAATATATGTTTGGAAGTTAAATCGACTTCATAGGACAATAGTGTTGTTATATATACTCGTTATTCGTTGACATGCGTTCGCTACTTAAACTACCA